TCTATGATTCTATGATTCTATGATTCCTTTACACTTAGGAAAAGATGCAACTATTGCAACTGGTGTTCAAATTATACAGAAAGCTGATTTACACTTATAGGACACTGCTTCATACTAAAATCAACTTACGGTGATATTTTGCAATCTTCTCACCACTTCCCCCATGCATACAGGATACTATCGAAGAGTTAGCTATTATAATCAGACAATGACTTATTATTTTTAGTATGCATGCTGACCCTTTGAATGTGGAACTACTTGTTCATTCAAACAAATTATTGTATTAGGTAACTACATAAGGCAACACAAAACACAGGCTTGCCAAAGAGAATAGGGTGAGATTAATTCCTTGATTTAATATTATTCTGCTCTTTAAAATAATTTTTAAAGACTCCTCTGCATTACCTGCGTACACGTTCAACATCTGGATCGGTTCGCAGGTATTTTTTAGCACTCTCGCCTTTTCCAAATGACGCTGTGTCTTCTGGGTTGACAAATGCCTATTTCAAACATAAACAAACAAGAGACATTAGAAGCCAGAATGTTTTTTCTAGTTAAGGCAGCTTGCTGTAAATGTCACTCTTTTTACTAATGCCTCTATAACCTTACATAACTTACCTGAAGTTAAATGCGTGGGGAATAATACATTGTTTGCTGCATTACTGTTTTCTTGAGCCTAGCCTGTGTGTAGCTTGCATGCTGCCAAATTAATGTAATGTACTTTATGCATGTAGATAAAGCCTTCTTGTAAGATCAACAAGCACAGAAGATGACTGATACTCAGCCTGAAGTAATGCTTGTGAGCTGAAGGAACATAGGGACCTGGAAGGTAGGACTACTGTCCATACCACCTAAGTCTCTTTCTCACTATTCTTGACAAATTATCTGAAAGCCCTTTTGGATCCCTTCCTTCTTCAGAAGTCTACACAGCAATAGCATCCAAGAGACTTATTCCCATCCGCATTTATGACCAAATAAGTTTCTTCCTTTCCTCTTAGGTACAAATTTTTCCACTTATATGACCTGTTATTACCTTCAAATACTCTAAGACACTACTTGAAAACATTTAATTCAGTTAGTACATCTCTCCTTGCTGACACATGTAGTAACACATGCATTCTGTGGACCATTCAGGCTATGCAGGTGTAAGTCAAGAAAACCTCTGGATTTTAGGAGAGCTACACGATCACTTTCTGAGGCAGCCTTGATCCCTTTCTGTGAAATATCCTTGGCCTCAAAATTCTGCAGAAATGTTAACAGTACCAGCATCAGCAACATTGTACCTTCTCTTGCTCCACTAACTGCTTTCCTCCATTTTCTCTTAACATTTAAAAGACTTTTTTATATTAAACAGGAAATAAAAATGACTTTACTAATTTGTCTGTTTGTAATGTTACTGTCTGTCATAAGAAAATCAAGTACTCCAAATCAATGAAGGCCCTACTGTCACCTGCATACATACGGATCATAACATGGTATGAGCATTAATACAGGACTCCACTGGATCTAATATAGGACCAGCACAGCTGACGTGCTTCCTTCTGCAAGAGCAAAAGGAAGTAAGGTTATGACATAGACACCTGAGTCCTATTTTGAACACACAGGACAGGCTGTGTGCTCTACTGTACTCAATCTTCAGCTGTGCCAAAGACCTACAGAACTATTAGAAACCAGCAGTAGCTCAAACGCTGTGCTATTAGGACCTCATGAACAACACAATAGTTCAGCTGGGTTCTCTTGCAACCAGCAGGAACAGAAACCAGCTTTTCAGCTAAAGGACTGCAACAAAATCCTTGAAGTATAGACCATCTTGCAAAGCAGATCTCACAAGAATAGCTATATGGGGCAAACTCAGGGCTTTTTCAGCCCGGGACCAAGTGTTTCCAACAGTGGCCATAAGCAGATGCCTAGAGAAGGGTAAACACAACACAGTGCTTCCCACGAGCACTCTCTCCTAAGCCAGATACAGCTTCTGCGTTATTTAGTAAACCTCAGTGGATCTTTCATATACTTACCTAGCCTACACACCAATCCATGTAAATTTTCAGCCTGCCTCTCATTCTAGAAAAAAATTCAATTTTTTTTTTTGACCTACCTGCAATGGGAAGGCTAAAACAATTAGAGAAGGTGAAAAGCTTTAGAACTACTGGATGAAATGGTTACAGATGCATTAAAATCCACTTCACACCCCCTCTTCTGACCCTACTAGTTGGTTATTCATGTAACATGGCTCCATATCACACTTTGCTTTATAAATTGAGTACCCTGGACATCAGTTTTCTGCAGAAGACGATGGAAATCGCAATTATGAAAAACTCTTATTTAAATATAATAGAAATGTTTTAGAAGGGTACAGTAAGTCAAATGCAACTGTAAGATACAGTCTCATAATTATCTCATAATTAGGTAAAAGCTGTTGTCCATTTGAGACGAAAGCACCAGCACGCCAAACTCAGAATATCATTAGAGGAGGGCAGAGGAAGAAAAAGAACAGTACCAGTATTTCAAAGCTGAAATGAAAAGAAACACCTGTGATATCTCTGTATTTCAATACAAATTTCAATCTATTTTAATAGACAGTATTCTCAATTTCTTACCTTTCTTGTGATTCTGAAGTACGCTGTTGTAATACTCATTAGCATCATTTTTAGAAGAACAATAGTTGTATAAGTAGCATAAGCCCGGAAGACTTCATTGTCAATTAACTGGGTCAGTTTAGCCATTTTTCCACTTCTCACTGACGACCTTTAAAAAACATTAAATTTAGGCTAACATCACAGCAATCCAAAGTTCTGATAAGATTGTCCGAATAGCCTTGTTTTAGCATCACTGCAATGACAGCACAATTTTGCCATTATGAAAAGTTTACTTTCAAAAATATTTATTTTTCCTCAGTTTATTTTCATAACGGTATATTATAATAAAGATAAGAAATTATAATTTAATATTTTGCTTCCATTAAACCTGCTTGTTAAACTGTCAAAATATAAACCACCAAAATATTTAATGTAATTGCAGAACCAAAATTTAGTCACAAAAATCAGTACACCTTCAAAATAACATAAGGAGTTAGACCAATTTTAGACCAATTCATTTGAATTAGTGATTACCAGAACAGAAAGAATGTGAGGACATACTATATATACCGTAGTGTTTAAAGAGGAAAATTAGTACTGCCTACTTTTTTTTTTTTTGGTAAAATCACACAATTATAATTGCACTTCAGCTTTCAAACTAACCAATATCTTCCCACCCAGCAATAACCTGTGATCAAACTGAGTTAAACATGCATTTTTCTCCTTTGAGACCTTGTTCTTAAAAAAATGCTTTCAGCATGATTCACAAGCAAAGATTAAGTTGTAATGACAAAAATCAGAGAACTATTTATGCTTTTATCATGGGAGGTTTAAACTAATGAAGTCACTTTCCAATGAGACCATACCAAACCCACAACCCTATGGAGGTGCTACCTTTTATCAACACCATGAAGTTAAGAACGTGATAAGGACTGAATGCACGTAAAATGAAAAGCATGTCCCCTTGCACATTCAATTTGTGCTCTGCATGGAACAAGGCTTCTGCCTCACCAAGTGCTTCAATCACGCACTTGATGAGTACGATTTCATAAAACTAGTACGTCTTAGCTTTACTCGAGACTAAAACAAATGCATTTTTGTTATAGTTAACTTCATTATTTCCTACGATATAATTTTAACAATAGTAATAAAAAAGTTAAAAATAATATTAACTTGATTACAGCTCTAACAATCTATCATCTTGCTTTCAGCACGGAGTCACTGCCAGCTATAGCCAAGCAAGGGCAACTAGACAAGCCAAGAGCAGTAGAAGACTCTTGCTCTGAAGGCACATCCTTGGTGGGGAGCTGGGCAGGATGGAGGTAAGCAGCTGTTTGCTCAGTGAAACAAAGCGAGCCTTGCCTGGACCTCTCTGGCTCTGGTGGTGGGATTCTGCTCCCTCTTTTATCCTTTCTAAAACAGTGCTTAGGTCACTGGGTCAACCACTGAGTCTAGGGACTATGGGAAATTCAGTATAACTTTCCCTCCTCTCACATTATGGTATAGCAGTTCTCATGATATTCAGCGATCTGGCAAAGATTTTTCCCAGCAACAAACAGAAGCTGCAATTTTTGAGTCTGTATCACAGCAGAAACAGTATATAGTTTCACACAACAAAAATAAAGTAAATACATGGCATCAGAGCATTTTTCCCTACTGGGTTTTAAAGCTATGCTGAAAATACGTCCAAGAACTATGCAAAGTCATGAGAAATTGTTCACCAACATCTCTGGAACTACACCACATTTATTCATTTTGCCTACTTGTATGGTTGGCCTCTCCAAATGCCAATAAAGCCTAGGCCTTGCCTTCGCTACGAAAAGTATACCAAAAGTATACCAAAGAATTCACAGTTTTAACAACCAGCAGAAATGCAAAAATAAACCCCACATACTAAAACAGCACAGCGCTTAAAGGGATCCACACAGTAAGACTACAAGCAGCCTGATCTGCAAAGGTAATGTAATACCCCTCTGTGGTGCGATTGCAAAACCCAGGCCTGCTTAAGTGCGTAAGTCTAGATCCCATGTAAAGGGTTTTAAAAGCCGGTGGGTAAAGACAACAGTGCCCTCGGCGGGAGCACAACTACGCCAAGGTTCCCGTCACGCCTGGCTTTGTCCCAGTGCTGGCTGCCTGTGCAGCTGTAACCAGCAATATCTGCGCTGGGACGGCCTTTTGACGTTTGTTTGTTAAAACCCGACTTTTCAAAGTGCACTCAAAGCACCCTTACGCTGCTGTTAATCGCCCGGCGAGGCCTTGTCCCCTGCTACAAACTCAAGTTTCGAAACAAGCAGGTCCCGCC